TATATATATTGTTATTAAATATATTTAACTTCGTGAAACATTTAGATTTAGAGCATATAATTAATATATTAATAGAGTATACATTTATATATCAATACATTATTCTTAGAAATATATTTAAGTTCGTGAATCATTTAGAGCAAACGTTGAGCTTCGATTCTTATTTCTTACAATGAATTCATCCATAAGTGCTTCAATATCTAAAGTCTCAGTAATATCGGAGTGCACGTACAATACAGCTATTGAATTCAAAATACGTAAATACGTTTTCAATCTTCTCAGGGCAGAGAAAGAACGTTCTGCAGTACAGTTCTGCAGTAGTTTTAATTAGTTTTGTGTACTCTGAAACTAAGTCTCTCACTGATTTATCTTTTTGAAGAATCGTAATAACGTCTTCGACAAAGTTCCAAAAAAATTTTTCTATTTTTACTCAACACAAGTTATTTTCAAAAAATAGGTCATATGTGGAATTCCACACATGAAAAATTCTGTGTGGAGTACTCCACACACTCCCCGCAAAAGTTAGCGCCCATGCTCGAGAATATTGAATCCATCGGGAATCTCGAAGATTTTCGGGATTGTGTCGGGAATCCCGAAAGCTTCGGGAACCCGACCCGATCCCGATAAAAATTCTAGTCCCGACCCGACCCGATCTATTCGGGTTCTCGCACATCTCTGGTTTCTACAAGTGCAGACACGACTAAATCCCAACCAGACACCCTTGAAATTACTTCAAGACGTAAATACACGTTGGAACTCTACGTATATTATGTTAAAAAGATTAGTCAAGATACGACGATCATTAAGTGTAATATTATGTGACAAAAATATGCCTGAAAATTTAAACAAGGAGTGGAAATTTTCAGAAGTATTGATAAATGTGCTCGAACCAATAAAGGACGCAACGGAGCTGATGTGCGGAGAATCGTATCCTACATTGGCTCAATACATTCCAATCTAATGGAATAGATTAATAGATAAATAGATTAATAGATTAATAGATAATCTATTAATAGATTAATAGATTAATTAATTAAAGTATTTACAACATTTGATTCAGAAAATGAAATAATAATTGAAATGTGCAAACATCTGTGCACTGAATTACAGGTAATTTTATCATTTTAATATTTTGGTAATATTTTACAATTTTAATAATGTCAATATATTAATAATTGGTTATTTAATTAATGTTGAAAAACGTGTTCCCGCCATTATCCTCTATGACTATATCTTCCTGTGTGGATGGCGCTGACGCTAGGCGTTAGTTCACTTCCGGCATCTTGCCCCTACCACTAACACGTTTTGTGTGCTGCTCTCGTTGTCGCACGTAGCCACGTATACAGTCTACTAATTTTAGAATGTTTACCGAAGAGCTTCGACAGTTTCGTTACAAGCTGGTCCATTTTATCTGATGAGATGTCTTTAGAACTGTTTTTAGAGAAACTTGCCAATGTTGGAAGGAATATTGAGGGACGTTTAGATGATGTATCAGATGCGTTCAAGTCGAAATCTAAGTCAATGAGCGATCAGGCAATGAAATCCTTTGGAAAGAAATTTAAAGACAAATGTCATAATTGTGGTAAAATAGGACATGTGAAGCGAGATTGCAGGTTAAAATCAGAGAAGTCAGAGAAGTCTGAGAAATCTGAAGCATCCAGTTCGAAAAAGGGAAAGAAAGAGTCAAAGGATGTAGAAGCTGTAAAAGAATTGTCTGCATCAACTGTTTATAAATCAAAGTATGAATTATTGCAGATTCCGGTGACAGCGCTCATCTCACAGGAAATATTGAATGGTTTTCCTCACTTAAAAAGATGGATGTACCACTTGTATTGAATATTGCCGATGGTAAAAAGTTAGAAGCTACTCATGTCGGTGACATACAAATTAAAAAATCATTTAATGGCATTAAATGGGAAAAACGAATGTGGGAAACAGTATACTACTACGAAAATATGGGTAGTGAATCATTATTTTCAACGACATTTATGGAGAGGACCAAGGGCTTTGGATTCTATCATGGAAATGGAATCATGTGAATAATGGATGGACAGAAGACAATACTTGGCGGAAAAAGGATTGATAATCAGTATAAACGTTTTATTCGTGTCATGCCACCACTAGCTTCTGCGAAAGTTGCTCGATCAATTGAATTATGGCATCAACGTCTTGGTCATGTCAGTGACAATGTAATACGAGCAATGGTGTAGAATAATCTTGCTGATGGCCTTAAAGTAATTCTAAAGAAAAGAGACGATTGTGATTCCTGTCATTTTGGAAAACAGACAATTAGTTCACATTCTACTCTGAGAAGGTGTGAATGTCTACCAGGTCAACGTTTTCATTCTGATGTTTGTCATGTTGGAGTTACATCGTGGAATAAATGCAAGTACTTTTTGATCTTGAAGGATGAAGCAACTGGTTATCGCAGAGTTTTCTTCATGAAATCAAAGGATGTATCAAGTATTTTAAAGGTGTTTTTCCAAGATGCAGAAAAGAAAACAGGCAGAAAAGCTATCTCGTTGAGGACAGACAACGGAACGGAGTACATAAATGATACAGTGAAGGAAGTTCTTCGAGAGATGAATATTACATATGAGCTGTCGCCACCCTATGTAAAACAGTGTAATGGTATGGCTGAACGAGAAAACCGTACACTGTGTGATACTACTCGGTCATTGCTATTTAATACTGATTTTTCAAAAACGGATCGTCATCTGTTATGGACCGAAGCTGTTGGAACAGCGACATATCTTCGTAACCGAGTACCAAATCGAGGAGATACGACTACTACTCCGTATAGTAGTGAATGGTATGGAAAGAAGCCTAGTGTAACTTATCTAAGGATCTTTGAAGCAAAAGCCTTTGTTCGCATTCCTGACTCAATGAGACGTAAAATGGATCCCAAGGCGAAAAAGATGATATTTGTTGGATACGATCGCTTCACTGACAAGGTGTATCGGGTTTTTGATCCGGAGAAGAAGATTGTGGAAAGAGTCGCAGATATTACAGTAGAGGATATAACGGATACGACTGATCAAGTTCTTTTTCCATTGCTATTTGAAGAACAAGAGGAGGATCCTGAAGAATTGCTTAATGAAAGGCCTCAAGTCAAAGATAGTACAGAATCTAGTGAGGATTCTGGTGATGAATTTTATTCAGATGAAGGAGAAATAATTGAAAATTCATCGAAACTGCAAAAGAAGATGGGACGACCACAAGAATCACGATCTTCTCAGAAACCAAGAGTACCTCCGCCAGATCGAGTGCTGCTGAATAGGATGGACAAGACAGCTCGTATTGCTACAATGAAAGTATCGTTGGATCCAATGTCTTATGAAGATGCAATGTCAAGAGAGGACTCTGAATCCTGGAAGCAAGCAATGAATGGTGAAATGTCATCTTTACTCAAGAATAAAACATGGGAACTCAAAGTTCTTCCAGATGGACAACCTGTAGTTTCATGCAAATGGATTTTTAAATCCAAATTGCAGTCTGATGGTACAATCGAACTTTACAAGGCAAGACTAGTTGCTCGAGGATTTAGTCAAACACAAGGTGTAGACTATTTTGAAACTTTGGTAAATGTTCCCCTTTACACAGTCAGCCTCAAATGACTTCCGAGTGACCTTGACCTTGACCTTGACCCTCAAGAAGATCAAGGTCATTGACCATTACCGTCGCTCGTTATTCGTTGAAAAGTTATTAACCAAAAAAGATTTAAAATAACGTACTATTTCTGCTATACATGTACGATATTAAGTACTATTCTGCACCCTCTCCCCCTATGTAAATGTGTTAAATCTTCTACGCGAAGCAACTCTCATCCCCCTCCCCCATGTGCACGGGCACTCGACTTCCATGATAAATATCTAGAAAATGGGAAGCACCTACGTTATTTGTAAAGTAACTTTTACCCCCCCCCCCCCCCCC